TGTTATGGTTTATGTTTATATCGTCAAAGTTAAGTACATTGGTTTTTGGTTTTGGTCGCTAAATTCATTTTAACCTTAGTTTAATATCTGCTACGAGTGGTTGATGATCAGATCTCATATCTGCTCCAGGATATGTAGTGTCTTTTTTGAAGGCATTTCGGAAACGCTCATTTACAAGTATAAAGTCTATTTGATTGTTTGAAGACTTAGGGTTTTTCCATCATCAAATGGGGCTGTCCAAGTGTATAGTCGTCGCTTGGGTAGTTTATACCAGGTGTTTGCAATGATCATATCGTTTTTTTTTACAGAATTCATACAATATCTGTCCTCGATCGTTAGGTTGTCCTAAACCATAGGAACCTACAGTCTGACCTCGTCGACCTCTCCCAAGTTTTGCATTGAAGTTGTCTATAATATATAAAATTTCGTGTTTATTAAGTTTCTGTAAGATGTCTTGGATCTGATCATACAACTTCGCGACTTCATCGTCATATTTTCTATCTGCAGTAGGGGCATAGATTTGAAGTATGTTAGTTTTAAATGGTTGAGTATTTATTTGGAGTAATATTATTCTATCCGAGACTGGTATGAAATTGGTCACATATTTACTCAGTTCTGATGTTACTAATATATCTACACCATTTTTGTGATGCGCGTCTTCTGTGCTGTTACCGGAATAATATAATACACTTTACTCCTTTTTAAATGATCCTGTCTCTGACCATCTCATTTCGCTAATTCTCTGTAGGTCTATTTTCATTCGTTTGATTTCTTGAATTAAGTTGTTAAGTTTCCAGCCGCAAATAGACTTCTAACATTCCATGTGCACATTCTAAAATTAGATTTCTTTATTTTTAGGACTTCTTTAACGAGGTTTACGCATGTTTACGATCTAAGAGGCTTTGTGGTATAAATATGTTTCTCCTCTCCTACCGAATCTTGGCATCCGCTTTCCATGATTAGTAACGTTTTGATATTGCAGCGTCAATTCTATGGTGATTTCCTTGGGGGTGCTCTATGAGTCGTTAATACAGTGGTTCCCCTTTGCCTTCTGCATTCTTATACCGTTGACCATTATTTGTTGATTCATCCGCTTTTGGGGCCGATTTCTCAACTCCAGGACGAAAGAATGCTCTACCACTCACCAAGTCATCCGCCCTAAGCCGTTGGTCAGTAAGTGGGAGATTGCTTATACCGGCAATCACTTGGACGTCAGAGCCTCATTTGTTATCTAGCAGGATACACCGGATGACCATAATCAAGATCATCACGCGGGCAGGCAAGGTTGACATTTGGATAGAAGAGGTTATACGTTGCGCATCACTATCCCTTGTATTCCGGGATAAATTAATATAATAATAAAAACGAAAATAACAATCAAATATCTTCATTAGTTAATTAATTTTTGATCTATCTGAAAATCTCAAAAAGAATAAGTAAACGGCAAACTGAGAAAACTTTATTCGTGCTTACGTCAACGATTTATAAAAGAAAATTGGAATAAAAGAAAAGAATTAGAAAAAAAAAGAAAAAGGAAAGCAGAGAATAAACAAAGAAGATTAGAGAAGCAACAGATAAAGAAGCATAAAGAGACATTTCAAAAGAAGAAACTCTTAAAAACCTTTAACAACAAGGCAAATACTAACGATGTTTACAACCACTCTTTAAATAAATATGTCACACCTCATAAAACGTTCGGTCTTAATGCCAAATTTGGTTGCAGTCCTTCTAGAAGCTGTTGTACTAGCAACAATAACCACGTCTTACAAAATTCAACATACCTAAATTTTTTCAAGTTGACATGTATCAGACGCTGTAACTCCAAATTTAATAACTAAATTCTCCCATATAAAAAATCTTTTCCGAGAAAGCCCAGAACGGCCATCACCACAATCTTAAATAAAAACAATACGTATGTTCTGCGACTAGGTATGTTTTATTTGTAGGCACAATATTTACAGGACAAACATAGGAATAAAATGTCAGAACTGCACTAGGACTTATCATGTTAGCTGCTTAACTAAATATAAATTATATAAAGAAAAATTTATTTGTAGCACTTGCTTTGCTAAGAAAAATTCTAACAATACCTGAATGTAAACACAATATAAGATTTCTTTTACTTGAGTTGTTTACTAAAAATGATTTTTTAGTTGGTTTTTACCAAAACTTAAATTGTGTTTTAAAGAATACAGCATTTTGATTTTTAGTTTGGCAATTTAAAAATTTTTTATATTTTTTAACTAACTGAATATATATTTTTACAATATATTTTTTTTATTTTGATGTTTTGTTTTAATTGTGTAGGTGATCATTTAAAATTACCTAGCTAGGTACCTAGGTATCTATGTATGTAACTACAGCAATCAAAATATGATTACAAAATATTCAAACAAGTGGTCTGTAAGTAATAAATATTCATAAAAAAATATATCTCGATCATATGGAAAGCAATTGATTATTTTAGGGTTAATAAATAATAAGTTTACCCTATACATTATAAAATACAATGTGAAAAACATGGGGATTACAAACAAGGAAATACAGTCAAAACTGTCTAGAAAAACTAGAATATAGTCAATATAAACTAGAATCAATTCTGCATAAACTAAGCTACCAAATATGAAAAAAAGTTTAAAAAAATATAATTAGGTGATCAAAAAAAGTGTATGAACTATGCAAACAAAATATCTTAATTCATTTTAAAGCACATCCTTAAATACATTTTTTCCTTGAATTGTACACCCTAAATAACTGCAAATATACTGCGGTAATAATAATCAAAAAGAAGACTAAGTAACTCTCATCAATACTTTCCCACCCTTAACACCACCGTTTCTCATTTCTAATCCAGATTATCCAGATATCTCGCGAATGTCTCTCTTTTTTTTTCGTCTATCTCAGCCCTTATTTGTCGTTCATTTAAGCCCGCCGCGCTTCGGTGGATTGCTGGTGACAAATTAATTTTTTTCCTAAGTACGCTCATCTTGCTCCTTGGGCTTGATGAGTAGCGGAGTCGTTTGTTTTTGGTTTTTCTAGTCGGAGATATCGGTCAGAAATTTGTCAGGATAAGTTTAAATGAAGACGTTTTCCATGTCGAAGTAACCGATATTTTAGCATAAGAAATGTTGAAGGGTAGATTACGAGAACGTTCACAGCTCTTATATCTATCTTAATATATCACTTGGTAATTTTGGCTTATTGTACTATCGGTTTTAAAAATTATAGGACGTATATCTTCATTTTTAGATATATAAGTATTTTACAGAAATTTAATATTATGAGAGATTCTAATAAATCAGATATGACATAAAAAACAATAATTTCTGTGTGCTAGTCTGAACCTGTTAGTCTGAGTTTGCCTCCATTAAACGCAGGATTGGGTTCCCGTTTCTTACATGGCACATCTCAATGTTAACTGAAAAAATTCATACTGCTATATAGGATCATAAAATAAGTGAAAATAGGATAGAACCAAATAGACGCAATGAAAAATCCTTTATTAACCCTACGGCTGGCGCGCTACCGCTCAAGATATCGGTTTAAGATTCAGTAAAGTATTATTAGTTACATCCACTTGTCCGTCCCGATATTCTCAAATGACTATATTACGCTACTTACGACGCACATACCGCATCGGTATATGATTTATTTTATTGTCAGTGACACACTAAAGTAGAGGTAATCGATTTTAACAAGAGCTATGAGTCATGCCGATTTAGTACATAAGTTTATCTGTTATTTACAAGGTCATAGCTCTTGTCAGAATCCATTACCTTTAATAGGTGTTGAATTTACGGCATTTTGTCCGCAGGTCACCCGATGATGTAAGTAAAATTAGCTTTGGAGTATACCTGGTTTTATTACTTTTTATTTAATCAAACTGTTTTTTTTTTGTGATAGAATATAGTCTAAGATCTTAAAGGTAAATGTGGTAAAGTATAGATTGCAGGAAAAAAAAATCTTTTTCTTCTTCTTCCTCCTCTTCTTTTACTGTGGACATATGGACTCTCCGTTTGTCAATATGTCTCTAGCAAGTTGTTGTTCCGCCATTTTTGTGGTCTTTCTATTGATTATCTTTCTTTGGAAAACCGTTTAGTGCCGTCTTAACTACTATATTTGTTGGTATTCGACTTACATGATCGTTTTATTCAACTTTTTTATTTCTTACCATCTTGCATCTACGTCGTATGTCTGTACTTTTAGGTCTGTCCCATAGTATTTGCCCATGAATTTTTTAAGAATTTTCATCTCTGCTATTTCTAACATAATTTCTGTTTTATCTGTGTGAGGTAGTGTTTCTATTGCGTATGTCATTATTCATATGACTGTTTTGTCAATTCTGTCTTTCATTTCTTTCCCAAAATTTTTATTTCTCCATATTTCATTCATTCAAACTGCGGCTCTGTTTGTTATATTCACTAGATCTTCCACTTCAGTTTCGAGCTTTTCATCCATTTTGTCTTTTTTTGGAGAAATTATCATTAGATAGTTAAACATTAGAAGACTCAGGAAATCTACCTGTCTTATCTGATTGTCAGCTTTAATGAGGTCAGTAAGTTATTCTTCTACTTTTACTTTTATTTGTTGTTTTGGTAGATATTTAAGATTTTTTTGAGTATTTCCAGAGGTTTCCCTTTTGTGTACAATAAGTGGATAACGTTATTTAATTGGACTTAATCAAATGCATCCTTGAGGTTTACGAAACATAGATATGCCGGTTTGTTGTATTTTTATAATTCCTGTTATACTTCTTTTAGTTCGATCTTCCATTTTAAAATAATATTTTAAGAAACATTTTAAAGTGAAAGAGGCATAATATTAAGATGACCACCTACCGCAATTACTTACCCAAATGGAGTATGTACAGTAGAGTGGAGTGAAAACTGGCTCGAAAAAAAATTTCCCTAAATGAATTGACCTATATGTGGAAAAGTTGCCTAATATAATGGTCTATTTTAGAAAAAAAAGTGACCTACAATATTGCCATTTTCTTCTGCTCATTTAACTGTAAAATTTAAAAAAATAAAGATAAATATTTTTTAATGCCGTCATGCAGATCTCTGCTTATTTCCATAAAAAAATCGTAATTTTTGATGGAAATAACCCAGAACTCACCGCGTGGAGGTAGCTGCATATCGAGTTCCACCGCCCTTCCACCCTTATTTGCACTTTTGTGAATAATTTTCTTTAAAAACTTGAAGATATTGACTTTTTGTCTCGAATACTGGCAAACTAGCGCTAGAAGCAATTCGTGCATAAATTCATCCCTTGCTGTATTTCCACATACAGTAACTGACGCTTCTGTTACTAACTTGATGCACCTTTCCACTGCTTGCGTGTGGCATGGATATTTTAGAATTTCAATTTCAGCTGGAATATCTAAAATCATTTCTTCTAGTTCTTCATTGGAAATACATTTTGTCAGGAGAGGTTCTGTTATTGTTGTCGACTGCCGGTCAATCATATCGATGTAGTCTTCAGCATAAAAATTTAAAGATGGCAATTTGAATTCCCGAATTTCTTGTTGATTAGCTGTTTTCCTACACTTCAATAATCTTCTAAGGCCTAATTCTATCACTTTTTTGCGACTATCAGCTAACATAGCCAATAATACATTTTCGGGATGACCGAAATTAATTTCTTTGAATTACTGGGTCTATGATTTTTCTCTAATCTTCTGGTAAAAATCTTCATTTTTCAATCATACCAAATAGATGCTTGCTCACGTGTCGACATGATAGTTGCATTTTGATTGCAAACCATGTGGTGGCATATACTTTCATGACATATTCTGTTCGAACAGTTAGATTTTGTGATGGTTTCGCTGTGATGGAGACATATAATCGTAAAATCCGGTTTGCGGTCGTAAGCCATCTGGAATGAGCCATTTTCCCGGGGTTCCTTTTCGACAAGTTCAAAGAGATGTTACCTTTTGAAATGGCAAAGTTGATCAGCACTAATTTCAGGCAAAGTAATTTCTATCCTTTTAAAATTTGTAGGTTGTAAGGTTTCACATTTTTCTAATTGCTTTCCTATGTCGCCACGAAATCCTTTTGGGACAGTTGTTTTTCCGTTTAAATGTTGCAGCAAATTTCTTAAAGGTAGTTTGTTTACGTGCAATAGGCAAACAAACCATTGTAGGGATCGATTCAGCGAAAGCTCAAGCTGTTTAATAATTCCATTCTTATTACCAGTATTTATCGCTGTACCATCACAACCTATAGATTGCAAATTTGAAACGTCAAAATTATGATCCAAAAATTCTAGAATGCTCTTCTTTATACTTTGCGAATTGTCAGATGCAGAAGTCAAATGACCAATATATTTGGATCGTGGTTCTGAACATTGTACTGTACATTGTAAAGTGTGTGTATGATGCTCACTCTTGTAGTCAAATATTATATGTATATACAATGTTATCACTGAATGATTGATCTCATCATCACTTTTTGAATCAATGTAATCAATCGTCTTCGTGAAACGTAGACAGTATCAACACATTTTTGTTAGGTTTTGATATAAACGAAGTAAGAAGACATTTATTGGGAACGACGCTCCAAGCAGACATGCTGCTATTTCTTTTTCTTAATTAGACATCTAAAAATGTAATGCGCCGACTAACGTAATACGGTTGTTAAATATCAAGTCATTGGTCAAAAGTACAGATTTAGATTAGTTGTCCGTAGTCACATTTCGTCCAGTACCACTGGAGGTCTCAAAAGTCTTATTAAAATATAATGGGCATCATAGATTTTTATGCCATATCTGGCCAGTTTATTTGAAATACACTTGCGGAACTTACACCTTCCTCTGAAACCCTCAAGCATCTTATCTTCTGTTATGTAGCTACCTACCCAGTAATGTTGTAAACACTGTTTTACAAAATTATCCAAAAGGTATCGCACAGCACCAAACGATATTCTTAAGCCCTTTGTACTCTACATTCATATCATCAAACTTCGTTCTTATCAATAACTTGTACCAGGGCTTGTAACGCCGTTCTGGCATAGTATCAGCAAAACATTATGGGGCTGTTTCGTCCATACTCCAAAGTTCTGAAGTATTTTCTTATTTCTGTACCAGAAAAATACAAAAGCCTTCAGCCCTTCACTTAGTCTAGTTCACAAACAATAATTTAAATAAAATAAATTATTCAAAATTCGTAAGTACGTGATTTATGTGTATTTTGTACACGTCCAATAGAAAAAGTCGTCTAAAAATAGAAGTGTCGTCAATCTGGCGATATCGTCGGTCGCGTCTATTCATCCAGTAGCGATCTGTCGTTCGAATAGTTGAGTAATATTTTTTGTTGCAGCTGAGATTTCTTGAGAATTCTTAGAAATACGAGAGTGTGCGATTTTATGTACATAATACACGGCGCGCCTTCTAGTGTAAGTATTTTATCCATTAACTAGTTTACTTTATAAAAAGTTGTAATTCGAAATTAAAGTCAAATTAACTTTAGTTTTACTTTATTTTAGGTTAAACAGGATATTGTAACATAATTGAGAAGGAATATAACGGCTATGCTGAGAGAATATCATATAAGAATTTAGTTGCATTGTTATATTATTTGTGTGTTACTTTTTTTATTTTTGCAGGGCTAGAAAGAAGTTTTTAACTGAGGCTGAGTTATATAAAATTATTAATGAAGATTCAGAAACAGAAACTAGTGAAATAGAATATTGCGATGTATCTGAGACAGATGAAGAAATAATACACCATGATGACCACAATTCTGAATCTGAACAAGAACAGAATGACCACGACAGAGCCAGTAACTTTGAGGATAATACTGCAGTAAGTACGACTGCTTTCGAGTATTTTCAAGGTAAAGATAAAAAAAAACTGCATAGCGTAAAACTCCGCTGTCGTCGCAATCAAAAATTAAAAAGAAAAATATTATCAAAATACTTGCAGGACCAAAGGCAGTGGCTTCAAAAGTAACCTCAGAACTTTCAGCTTTTGAAAAAATTATAGATTCTGATATATTAGACAACATCGTACAATTTACTTATTTGAACATTGATAGTAAAAAAGAATCTGTTCAATATAAAAAAACGAGATATGAAACATACTTCAAAAAGTGAAATAATGGCATTACTGGGAGTGCTTTACCTCCTAGCCACTAAAAAGGCTAACCTTACTAACGTACTTGAAATTTGGACATGGGACACAGGATCTGATGGAACAGGTACAGAAATTCTTAGAACTGTAATGAGTTACAAAAGATTTTTATTTTTGTTACGTTCAATGCGCTTTGATGACAAACCACAAGACATGAACGGAAAATATATGACAAACTAGCATCAATTAGAAAAATATTGGACGCATTTGTTAGTAACCGTAAAAATTCCTATAATCTTGGTGAATTTGTTACAATAGACGAAAAACTAGAGGGATTCAAAGGACATTGTACTTTTATCCAGTATTTACCAAATAAACCAGCAAAATACGGTATCAAGCTGTTCATTTTGGTCGATGCACAAACTTACTTTGTTGGAAATTTAGAGGTTTATTGTGGACGGCAACCTGAGGGGCCTTATGCTGTATCAAACTCAATGAAATTGTAGATAGGCTTATTGATTATATAAAAGGTTCAAATCGCAATTTGACAACCGATAATTATTATACCAGTTATCCTTTAGCTATTTGCCTTTTGGAAAATAAAATAACTACAATTGGCACTTTGAGAAAAAATAAAAGGGAAATACCTATTGAAGTTTTACCCCAAAAATAAAAAGAAGTGGTAACGTCACTCTTATTCACGATGCATGACACTGCCACCGTAGACGTCGAAACTAAAAAACCAGAAATTATTCTAGATTTCTCTAATGGATATGGCGGGTATCAACGCGCAGGTGTTGTTTTGTGCCAATAAAACAAATCCCAAAATATGTCGCCGAATTTTTCTAAAGAATTTAAGCTTGAGTTTAATGAAAGTACATCTTTCAGAAAGAGCGACAATGCGATATCTTGTTGAGGATATTCAGGGTTTTCTAATAAAATATATATCATGTGAAGAACCTACTAGAACAGAAGTGCAAAGCTCTAGAAAACGTGGACGTTGTGCAATATATCCAGGTTCAAAAAATTCCAGCATAACAGTTAGATGTGGGCTATGTAGAATATTTGTATGTAAAATGCATTCCGAAACCACAATTACCTGCGTAAAATGTAAGAACAATGAACGGCAGCAATCAGAAGAAATCGAGTGAAGAAACCCGTAGGTACATGTTTTATGTTTATTATTTTATGTAACAATAAACTATTTTTGTAAATCGTGGTTGTCATTTTGTTAAAACGCACGAAATTTGGTAAAATCAACTAAAATGTGTTTTGTGTACAAAATACACAGCGCGCCCGGTTATGACACGGTAGTCGGCGCGCCTGCTGTAGGGTTAAGTAACAACATATTAAATCAATGGCGTAAACACTAACTAATCGCCTGCCAGACGGTTAACATTTTAGTGTATATATTTTTTTTGTTAAATATTTTATTGCAAAAAAATATTACGATGACTTACTGAAAGTATTAGTTATCTGAAAAACACAGTTATTAATATAGTTCACATTTTTCGTCCACTGAATGGACACCACCCTTTGTTGAATTATAATCCACTATTAGGTGTGGTTTTTAGTGTCTGTCTCCTCAGTGGTTGCGTGATGAAATGATGATAGCAAAGTTACGGCTTTAATTTTATGTGTTGTGTGTGAAAGTAAAGTAATGTGTTTTGTAAAACCGTAAATTGCCATTCCCACTTCTCATCGTCTGGTAGGTAAGAAGATAGGAGGAATTTCTTTACGATTCTTACGGAGAGTTCCAATGCAAGTTAGACCTTTACTTCTCAATACCTCTACCAGCCTGTGTTGGCTTACTGTGTATTATCTGTTCCTCTGTAAGTCCAGTACCTACAGAATTTTTTTTTGTATATATAAGCATTGAATAAAAAGCTAGTTTCAGCTACAGTACAATACATAATTTTTATACTATACATTACGGGCTTACTCGGTATAAACATTTTGAAGCGACATCGAACTCTGAATCCCACTAGCATTTTATCACAGGCTGAAGTTTCTATAGTATGGCATGCCTGACAGTTGTTAATAAATTCACTAAAAATTTTTGAAATCGGTGCTACTAAATCCAACACTGTTCTCTGATTTCTGTCTTCGGGATTGCCAAATCGCAAACATGACAAAAGGAACGCACATCCATCCCTCTTTTAACATAAAGCATCTGATTACCAGTTCCATTAGTAACCAAATAGTATCTAAGTTTTCATTGTTTAAATGCCAAAAATTCTAAAAATATGTGAAGTTCTGTCATGTTAAGGTCTTTGTTTTTGTTGGTATTAAATACATGTGTAACACCCTTATCTGTTCCCAGGATATGCACAAATATGAACCCCTTTTTTCAAATATCATGGCTTGGTAGATGTACTTTCATTTTATTTTACATTGATTTTGCTCCAAATGTTTATTACTTGTGAATAAATAATTTTTTCGACAATATTTTTCTTGCATATCATTATTTTGTGCACCATGTAGATCGCACCCTCGAGGTAGACTGCATACTACAGTAACACCGAATTCTAGTAC